ATGATGCCCTAATTTGATGATACCCACACGACTCAATAATTCAGTTTGGGGCTTTCTCTACTTCTTTTTATTCTTTTCATTTTAAAAAACTATTTGTATGATTTTGAGGAGTTTGTTAAAATTAGCTGATATTTTAAGATCCTTTTGACATTTTACATGATTATGGGATGTGGGGACATAAGTTCAGAAAAACTGGAAGGCTCTCACAGATGAAGAACTGCCATATTTGGGAGTCCTTGGCAGAGTTTTATGTAAACTGTATGTCTTTCACTTAGGGAGTCTTTATAATAGAATTAAAAGCACCCACTCTACTTTGTACATGGACTTCTATTCACACAATGAATTTAGCAAAGCTGTTGAGCAATATAACATTTTAGGTTAGAGAAAAAATTGAGGGCACAAATATAGACCTAAGGTCATTGTGAATTCAGACTGAGCACACAGCAGTAGCCTCCACTCGTGAAGCTAGACGCAAACCCAAATCTGGGACTATGCTAGAATCCGAAAATTCTCTTCCAAGGAGCTAAGGCAGAATTTGTTGTGTTCTGTTTTGGTCTCCACAGTTTGAGAGGGGCTACTAAAACAGAGACAGAGATGAATTTCAGTTTAAAAATATGATTCTAAGTAAAGATAGAAAGTGGGTATAGTTAAGTGGAAATAGAAATTGGATTGTGATTCTTGGTGTCTGCTCAGTTAAAGGTAGTTTCCTGAGCCACAGAAGATCCTTGCCCTCAGAGAGAGCAGTGAAAGGGCCCCACAAATGCTCATATTTAAATATACATTGTAGAGCCACACAAAAATGATGCAGCATAAGAGAGAAATTCAGAGTATTTCCCTCACTACACATGAACACACAAAAAATATTTGCCATCTGCAATGGCTACATAGAAACCCAAGTACTTAGAGCTCCAAGTCTACTACTTATGGAGCATTTGGAGCCTTGAACAAACCAAGATGGTAATGCCAACCCATTTCTCTGACATGACCCAATTAGTAGCAGAGCCCCTCCATTCTCCCCTTGCCCAAAGACACTCTTGCAAATGTGCCCTCTTGTGCACAGCTCACCAATGAGGTGCCGTGTCACTTCCCTTCTCTGTGTGATTTCAGTCTGTCTGAGGGCTAGTGGCTACTGTGTAGTCTTCATGCAACTTTCTGAAACCTTGCTTTAAACACACTTTACTGAAGGTGGCATTAGTCCCAGTTATTCCTTACCCGCATCTTCTTTGTAAAGCAGCTGGAACCTTGGCACAGCAGCCAAAGTGTGTGACAATTCTGAGTAAAGACCCCTTTAAGTATGAAGGGCAGGGTTAGTGTCCAGATAGAGTGTCCACAAGTGTGGTAAAGAGGCAGGGTCAGAGTCTTGGGAGATGGTAGGGTTGAAGGGAAGATCAGCTGATTGATTAATTGACAGGGAAGAAAGCTCAAGAGGAAAGCGAGAGATTGGGTGAAGAAGAAAGAAGAGATGAGATGGAGCACCACACCTGTCCCTGAGGATGGAGGGAGGGAGGACAGAGGGAGAATGGACAGAGGAACATCCAGGTGGAGAGAAGGGTGGAGGTGTACAACGATCGGATGGGAGAGATAGGAAGGAATTTGTGGGAATTTGATATCAATGACTTTAAACTTCTTACCAAAGTAATAAAGGCAGTGATCTGCCAGTAGCATGGTGCGTAGAGCTGAGGATCTTGAGCAGAGTTGGAAAGGGATGGTACTATGGGTTGAAAATGTTTCCCAAAGTTCATGTGTTGGAAACTTAAACTCTAATGCAACAGAATTGATCTTTCAGATGTGATTAGGTCAGGAGGGCTCTGCCCTTATGAATGGATTAAAGCCATCATTATGGGAGTGGGTTAGTCATCGCAGGTGTGGGCTCCTGATAAAAGGGATGAGTTTGGCCCCCTTCCTCTTTTGTTCTCTCTTCCCTGTTTTCTTGCCCTTCAGCCTCCCATCATGGGATGATGCAGCAAGAAGGCCCTTGCCAGTTGTGGTCCCCTCAACCTTGGACTTCCCAGCCTCCAGAACTGTAAGAGATAAATCTAAGTTCATTATAAATTACCCAGTCTGTGGTACGCTATTATGGCAACACAAAGTGGACTAAGACAGATGGACTAACTATTGAAGTGAATTTTAGTTAACATTTATTCATCCTTCCATCTAATAATATTTATATTGCTCTTCATTATATATCGAAGGCTGTATTAGGGACATGTTCAGTGAACACAGTAAATGTGGTCCCTTTTTTTCAGCAAGAATGTAGTGTGTGTCTTGCTCTTCCGAGGCAGGTTCAATAAAGGTGCAGCATTGTATCACCCGGGAGAGTGTTAGAGATGGCAGTCTCTATGGACATTAAAAGTGAGAGGCATTGGTACATGGAAGAGTGTTGATTCTGGAGCTAGACTGCCTAGTCCAAATTCCGGCTTCTACCACTTACCAGCTCTGTGGCTTTGGACAAGTGATTTAATTTCCTCATGTGTAAACTGGTAATAATAATACTACCTACTTCAAAGAGCTATTTGAAGATTAGATAAGTTAATATTTATAAAATGTATTGGTACATAGTAAATATTCTGTAAGTATTGGTAAATAAAAATAGGCACTTAGACAAAATTCAGAATGTAATAGGGAAGAGAGAACATGAACTAGTGGGTCTTAAGGGGGAGTAGTAACACTACGTAGAATATATTTTACAATTTTGTGGGGGGTTGTTGTTCCATTGATTGGGAAATATGCTAAGGAAGGTCTAGTTGATTCCTGCACACATTTCAAATTTTCTAGCAGATGTTTATGTAGGTGAAAATAACAAAAAAAAATGATCTGAAGTTACGTATAACTCCATCTTACATGTGATTAGTTGTTTTAGAGTTTTACTGAGTTGTCGGATAAGTCTTTCAGAGTTTTATTATAGATTGGATTTCCAGCCCCACAGCTGCCTTGTAAATTGAAGGATGATTATACTTTGTTTTGTTCAAAATGTTCCTAAGAATTACTCACCATTTCAGAATGTCACTGATACAACATTAACCTAGTATTTGATTCCCGATGTAGCGCACCTCTGTCAGTGTGTGGCATTCACTCTGCTTATTTGTACAATCATCCACACACTTTGCTGTGCCTTCTAGTGAAGCTATGGCCAAGCACTAATATATTGAGATGCATATGCTGTTAGAATAATTTACTTTCCTTTCATTGGTTTAGATTCCAAGGAGGGCATTATATTGATTTTTTAAGAAGTATCAGTGGCTGGATAGATGACATTATCAATGGATTTCATTTATTTTATTTTATTTATTTTAATTTGTTAGTGGCAGTAGTGGGACTGATGTGAGTGGGAACTACTGGGATAAGCAAAGGCCCTGGGGCAGATGTCAGTCAGAGATGTGGAACTTGGACAGTTGTTAGAGGTTGGCTGTTGGCTGCTCTCTACAAGGAAAGTACTTGTTAAATGGGCACAAACTGTCACCTGAGGAATTTAATGTAGTCTTAGCTTGCCAAGCTCTGGTTTATGGATGTAAGATATTGACAATTCTCTTTAAACTTTTATATACAAGGTAGAAGTTAATGTCTTTCTAATGGAGAGCAGTCACTACACCGAAACCAGCAGTTCAGATTTATGTCCAGACCCCTTCACATACTCACACACTTCTGGAGTTAAGCTCACTTGCTAACACAAGAGTGTTTATTCCTTGACCCCTTCCTCCCACAGATGAGAGTGACATTATTAGAGAGAGAGAGACAAGAATTCGAAGTGAGGTATATGTTAAAAACTTACTCTTTCATATAGATACATTGGATACATTGTTATTCATAATTAGTATTTATGGCCCACAAACAATGTGAGGGTTTCATAAGTGATTTTTCTATTCTAGGTTGCAAACTACTGGCAGACAGAGAGTCACATTTGAATATCTTTGTGCCTCTGGTAACTAAAACAGAGTCTGGCATAGAATAAGAATGCAATACATCTTCAATAAATGAATGAACCTTTATGTGCAGGGCTGATGAATTTGGGAAAGTAAGCTGAGTTCTAGGTTCCACTTCCAG